ACTAGCATTTCCAGCCGAAACTAAATTGCCTTTTTCTCCTTGTGTACTTTCTCAAAAAACGTCAATTATCGATAATAACATTCGAGTTATGACCATGCATGAAATGGATAATTACATGCCAACGGGCATTAGGTGAGACCTTTTGGACAAGCGATAAAACTGCTATTCCGGCGTAATTTTGACAATTTGGCAGTCACATGATAAGCCGATAACTATCGGTAAAATTAGCCGATACCGATAGTTCAAAATTTGCGAAAAACAGGGCCGATATATCAGCCGGGCCCTAGTTATAACTGCTAGGCTATTATGACCACTTTTGTGCTATTTGACCTTTTCTCTCACTTGGAATTGGGAAATGACTGAAATACATACTCTTGTAATACCAGAAAGTGCCGATTCTGCTCAGTATGTCCTTCATTACTTGGCCTAGAGCCCTAGAGGGAAGCATGACTGGTCGAAATTACAAGTTACATTATAATATAATTTATCTCGAACCTCGCTCTTGAAATCTAGGTTTGTATGCTTTTGTTTGAGTAAAATAAAACTCTACTATTGCTCTTAATTAATGAAGCATGACTGGTCAGAATAATTTTATTCCAGTGCAGAGAATTGTTGATTTTTATGTTATTGTTGAGGTCATTTTAGTACATTCAGGCGGTCTCAGTGTGGAATATTGAAGCATGATTAGTCGGAATATCACCATCCTGGTCAGTGTGATGTGCTTAATTTTATGTCATGTGTGATAAACTGGAAAATCAATGCTGAATGGGAAAAAATACAGTTTTCGAATATAGTTTCAGAATCTTGGCTTCAGAATCAGCATTGTTCATAGCCAAGTGGTGAAACCCCATACATTGAATTTCATGGTTGGTCAATAGATATGTATTATACGTAACAACCTGCTGTTGCCCAGTGTTTTTTTGTTTTATTCCATTAGTCTCATATTAGGTGTAAATAAGTTTGACTAATAAAACTGTTTAGTACCATAAGATAAAATATATGATGGGGAATGGCATTACCTTAATCTAACCAGATTTTATTCTACCAATTCAGGTGTCTTATCTTTCGTTAACTCTTTCAAATATGATAGGAAAAATCGCTGTGCCCATTAAAAAGATTATATCTGGGGATTTCCAATAGAGTTGCAAGTTATTCCAATCGTATTGTAATATAACAGAAAAGCACACAGCGGATACAGTCTCTCAATCACTCCCATAATGATTTTTCCTCATATTCTACTTGAAACTTTGTCGCAATCTCGTAATGCGTATCATGTATGCTTCCAATATGAAAGTTATTATCGAGAAACAACGAATTGAAATGACTTTTTTGAGGGTAAACGATAAAAGAAGGCAATTTAGAGTCGTCAGAAAATGCTCGTTCTATAAATACCACCGATCATGCATCATTCATTAATACAATTTTGAATTTCTCAGCAACAGTTTTAGCTATTATTATAATTGTAAAATCATTTTGTTGTAAAGTCTCACTTCATCAGACGCGTTCAGAGAATATTTTGCACTCTCATTTTAAATTAGTTGGTGGTCAGCAAAGCGCTTTGCTCGATTTTCATTGTCTAGATCAAGGGTCCTCCTCTCTGGGTTGCAAGACAATTTAAATTTGCCATAAATATGTGCATCGCGTCTGTGTATCGTATTTATTTATAACAACTTTATAAATCTCTAACTATAATTATGAATGTCCCCCCCCCCCCCGAGTATGCACTTATGACGTAACAATAGAAGCGCTCAGATACTTTTGCCATTCTAACAGTCTTTCGAGGTTGTGAATATTACCTCGTTTTGGCTGTTTTTGCATGCTATTTGTTAGTTTTTAGTGGTGTTTTGGTAAATATAGGTCCTAATCAAATAACTCAATAATCATCTTGCTTTGTCGGAGTTTTATTTTAAATGCAGATATCAAAAATTAATCTAGAAATACCTCTGATAGACTAGGCCAAACTTTTCTACCGGCACATTTAAATGAAAGTTATTGAATGTGTTGAATTAAAATGATAGAAACATATAAACCGGTTTATAGGCGCGAACTTGCAAAACCATTCCTGAAATAAGTACCAATAATTTTGCAATAGTAGAGTATAAAGAGGAAGAATTTTGCCGGGATCGAAAGTTGGGGAAACATTCATTACGTAGTTGTTTGCATTGTTAATTGGTATTATCTTACTACGTAGGTAGACAATTGTGTTGTTTGGTAGCAATGCGAGGTTAGCAGTAGCCGTGTGGAATTGCTTGATAAAGACAGATGGTGGAGACAAGGTAACTAAGGAAATAAAAGAAATACCAATGTCGGCAGATACCATTCGCCGACGTATTAGCGAAATGAGTCAATATATTAGGTGTAAACTGATTGATAGAGTCAAATGAGGAAAATACGCTTTGCAATTAGATGAATCCACGTATACGTCTGATTTAGTTGATTGTGTTCGTTAGGTATACACCTAATGGGAAGCTTAAAGAGCAGTTACTTCTGTGCGTGGCGCTTTCTGGAACATGTACTGGTCAAGACATATTCTCAGCAGTGGAGACGAGACTGCAGAATGATGGATTAACGTGGGAGCGGTGTATTAGCATTTGTACTGATGGGGCTGGGGCTATGGGCGGAAAAACAAAGGTTTTTTAGCAGGGGTTTTACAAATTGCGCCTCATATCAATTTTACGCATTGCATTTTTATAGGGAAAATCTGGCTAGCGAAACATTGGACCAACAATTAAAATGTGTTCTCGATTCAGCAGTAAAAATTGTTAATTATATTAAATCGAGATCTCTTCAGACTAGACTATTTACTATTCTCTGTGATGAAATGGGATCGGAGCATAAGAGTCTTCTTCTTTTCTTCATTCAAAGTGAGGTGGTTATCGCGGGGAAGAGTGCTGACCCGTTTATTTGAGCTGCGAAATGAGGTATACTTGTTTCTTATAAAAAGAAAACACGAACTTGCTGCTAATCTTATCGACCCTGACTGGTTAACAAAATTGTTGTATTTATCTTGTATTTTTGACAAGATAAACAGTTTAAATTTGTCATTGCAAGGTGAATCAATTAACATACTAACAGCAAACAACAAGATCGAAGCTTTCAAAATGAAAATTCAACACTGGACTGCCCGAGTCGAAAATGGAAGAATGGATATGTTTTCTGAGCTTAACGATTTTCTCGAGGAAAACGAGTTCAGTCAAAACATTGTGGAACAATCAGTCATCTTTCGCAGTGGTTTAATAAATATTTTCCCGAAAACACAACACCACAGCAACAAGACTGGATATTATCACCTTTCGCATTATCAAATGTACAAGATCTATCATCAGATTTGACTGAAGCATTGGATGACCTGTCAAGTGATCGCGGGTTGAAGATCGCATTTGATGGCAAAAGAAGTCTGGCTGAATTTTGGATTTCAGTTGCAAAAAAACACCGGAGTTGTCAGCTGCTGCAATGAATGTTCTTTTGCCATTCGGAACTACCTACTTATGTGAAAAGACCTTTTCTGCGTTTTCATACATAAAAAACAAATACAGATCAAGTCTAAAAGTAGAAGAAGATCTTCGTGTTGCTGTCTCCCATATTAAACCTCGAATTGATATGTTGTGTTCAAAACACAAAGCTAATAATTCGCATTAGTCATAATAAACGCTATTATTCACGATTTTATGTGCTAAGTTTCATATAATTTTAATTCAAGAAAATTGCTAGTGTCAATAATAGTCCTAAAATTGATAACTAATTACATGCTTACCAAATGCTTGGGTCGCGAGAAAGTAGAAAAAAAATTGTTGGGTGTAGTTGCGGACCCCTGGTCTAGATTAGTTAAGCAACGGGTACTCGCTGAGGAGTGAAAACGAATGCTTTGGCACTTTCTGGAATGCTACAAACCCAGTATGAAATATTTGCATCCCGATGTCCCCTGCGGCGTTCCCATATGTTACACTAAAAGCAAGGATGACACCGAATCAGTTTTTATTAGTGAACGTACACAAAATATAACAAGCATGACTAAGAAACATGAACGAATGACATGTTAGTGGTTTCCATCTCATTTTGAGTGTGTCGCGAAATATCGATCAAAAAAAAATAGTTTGTAGAATTAGGGAACCTCTTTTCTATACATATACCACTATACCGGCCAAAGACGGGCAACAAGTAGCCACCTTTTTGTAATCGAGATCCTAAAAAATCTAAAAAGAGTAAAAGTTCATTGCAGTTTTCCTAAAAAAGTGAGCTAATAACGAACACTGATAGTGGGTATTTCTATGTGTCCTATGAAAGCGCTAACGAATTAAATTGAAATAAACGAAAAAAATTGTGTGAATCGTCGAGACCCGTAAGAAAATTGAAACTAAAGATAAATAATCAGTAAATAATTAATATAGTTGGATTATTTGAGAGAGTATTACAGAAAACTTTGTCATCAAGAGTGAAGTCCGTGTCAATGCCCTGTCCTGCCGTATGTTTTTCAACGTAATATGCCTATGCATCTGGAAGAGTTATCTATTTTCCTATCCAATCAACTGCAAAGAAATCATCTGTTTTAATTTTAGGCAAAGAGAAACCAAAGAGCATAGTGACTTCGCAATTATGGTCGGAGATGAGAAAATACCAGCACACAGGAATGTTCTGTCAGCAGGATCAGATTATTTCCGAGCAATGTTGTCTCATGAAGTGAGTGTTGCGTTAAAATTCTTTGAGTAATAGACGATATTCACTTGTATACTCGATAATTAGCCGATAGAAAATGTTTTATAATATGTGAAGGAAAGTAAGAAGTAATTTTTACTTGTATAACCAATAACTAGAACTCCTTGAACAATACAAAATGTATCATGCCCATCTTATTGTAAAATATTGATAACTGCATAATGGCACCAAGAAACGCAGAAGGATTGTTTTATAAAGTATATTGAATATAGATATATCTACACGATAAACCTTATCCATGGTGTTACATTTCAGAATGTTGAGAGCAGCACTGGCATTGTGGTAATGAAACAAGTTCAATACTCAAGTGTGAAAACTTGCATCAATTACATTTACACTGGTAATTTTCCCACTCCTGGTCGTGAGGATCGTGAACAACTAATGTTTACGGCTCATATGCTCCAGTTACAAGGTGAATGATTAAATAAACATAAAACATTTTTGTCTGTTAGTAGTTCGCTGTGACACAGTTTTAAGATCATTTTAATTTTAACATGACAGCAACATTCCGTTAATATCGTAGCTACTACTAGCTTTACTTGGGCTTTTATTAAACTCTTTATAACATGTCCAATAGCGGTTACGACAAATGAACAGAAATGAATTTGAGAGAAGTACGAATTTGATGCTTCCAAGGTCCACCGTCATGTTACGAGTGGAGAAAGTTAAACGAACTCCAAAAATGGTCGTTTTTTATTTTATATGCAAAATCGATTCGCTTCAATCGATATTCATTATATTCAGGCATGTGACAAAATTGCAATATCTCTTGAGGAAGAACTGAGTCCAGAATCGTTCTATTCGACAAAGATGATCGCAAGCACTTTCAACTGCATTGATTTAGTTGAAAGTTGCAACAAATATGCTCTGAAAAATTTCCAATCAATTGCTGTTCGAGATTATTTCAAACATTTTGAGAAAGATTTTGTTTCTTTCTTGGTTGGATCAAAAGAAACAAAGGTTTGTATCTGAATGCAATGTGGATATTAGGGTTGCCACTTCTGGATACATTTTTTTTCGAATCGAATCTCGAATCAAAACTTTTCGAATCGAATCTTTCCGAATCTGATTCCATTAAGCTTTTTTTTATTACATGCGTATGTTTGCCCAAAGTCACAAAAAAGCTCAAATCTAGAAGAAAAAAAATTTGAAAATGGAATAGGCTATATAGCAAGGATGATAAGGGTTTTTCAGTGAATAAGCCACACTTATTTTCATCATGATAAAAAAAGATGTAGGTCATAGATATCACTAATAAATGCATTGATGAAAAACTTGCTGTTGCAACTTATCTGTGAGTCTTACAATACTGAGTTATTGTGTTATACTTGTATCAGGGCTGAGGCAATTTGATGGAATTCATATGAGAAAATAAGCAGGGAACAGTTGTACTGTTATGTCGTAAACACAGTAACAGCACTGCTTTTCCTTGTCCCACACCAGTATATGTGACCGTGGTATTTCCCTTCTTGTTATATTGAATTGAGGCCGGCCTTATTACCGATTCTTTATCTTCAAAATCTTAGTACAATATTTTATATTTATGCTAGCAGCATAGAGTAATACGACAAAAACATTCTAATTGCATCTGAATTACTATAAATGGGAAATGCTTACAAGAATATGATTGAAGACGATAAAATTAACCACGATTAAATTAAATTCGATAAAAACAATCGTTCATCCGACTACGATTGCGAACAAAAATTTCCAAAAATATTAGAGAAAGTATTATTTGTGGCTAACAGCGTTATTGGCTAACTCGGGCTTCATTACTAATGTGGACTACTTTTAATTTCGTAATTCAGAAAGTCCAAATGTGCATAATGGACGCCGCGCTGACGAGCGATAATTGGTTGACGCTTTATCTCGATCGGACATGGTCGCTGGGGCTAAAGTAAGACGACATTCGCACAGTATGCTCGGTCTGGTATGAAATCTGCCACGTGTTGATGTAAAACAGTGCACAAGTTGCCATTCCTCAAGTATTATTTACTCCCACCTGTCCGTTATGACATTTGCTCGAAATAATCCGAAATGTTTTATTCGCTTGTATCGCGCTAACAAAATTAAAAGTAAATACTACTTTTTTTTGTAACAGCTGAAAAAAGACGTGTATGTACTATTACATTATGTCCCCCTGATTTCGTTTACCGCCACTCGAGTGGAAGCCTGACAAACGCAAACAAAATAAATATATATTTTAGGATGAGAAACATGATTGTCAATTAACATTGCCGGCCGATGAACTCATTCAGTAATAGTTCTCTTCAAATGTACGCAAAATATTGCTCTCAGAACAAAGTTTAACTTTAAATTTCAATCAAAATTAAACATTATCTAGACGTCGGTGGCCGATTCTTTATCCAATCATGCCAGGGCGTACAATAACTTAGTCGCAGCGCAGGTGTGCTGTTGAAAATTTTCATCAAAATTGTCACGAATTTTCAGGTATACGATCCATTTAAATTCGCGCATAATGGAAACTTCGGCTATTTAGTGGAAAACTGAACTCGCAGTTTGCTGGTAATTACGCCACACATCATCTCGAGTGATGCGTAAAAGAGTGTGTTGTGTCGAACTTGAAACAAATGACGGCAGACAAGTAAAAAAGTCAATCACGAAAAATTCATTTTCATTTATTTACGTCCCGTAATTTGTTGCTATTTGGAGTGCCGCATAAACGCATTCGGCAGTTTTAACGCCACCGAAAACAACGATTAACAAATGTTCAATGTTTTTCTTTCGGTCCCGTAATTTGGTGTTATTTGGAGTGCTGCATAAACGCATTCGGTAGTTTTAACACCGCCGAAAACAACGATTAACACACGTTCAATGTTTTTTTTTCGGTCCCGTAATTTGGCGTTATTTGGAGTGCCGCATAAACACACTCTGGCAGATTTAAAGCCGTCGAAAACGACGATTTAACAAACGTTCAATGTTTTTTTTTCGCTAAATCGCTCTCTTTTTCCGAATCGCGTAAATCTGATTCGAATCGATCCGGAAAAGATGCGATTCGAATCGATCCGATTCGTAAATCCAAAAGTGGCATCCCTAGTGGATATACTCAATTGGTACTTGTCCTTCAAAGGCTCGAGAACTTAGGCATTTGTCCAACCAAACTCATTACCCCTAATTTTGTGCTATGATCAAAGACTCATTTTTTCTAATGTTTGATACCAAGGCATCAGCTAATAAGCTAACTTATTGAGTCCATCAGAGGAGTTATATACATGCTGGTATGTATGTTTCTAAGTGACCTCTATATTGTTCATTTTGTTCCATGTTGGTTTGTCAAGTATTATAGCTTTTTCAACACATTGACTAAAATAATAAGATCTTAATGTTTGAATAAATTTGGTTTTCTATTGTAACAGGCAGGAGAAAACATTAAATGCAAAGCGTTGATTATCTGGACAAGTTATGACATCGAAAATAGAAAATCATGTTTCGAAGAAATGTTCAACAAACTAGATTTGGGGAGAATCACATTGTCATATCAAAGACATTTAATTGAAAATGAGGTAAATTGTACACGGATAACCACTGTTTGTGGCCAGGTTGGCTGAAGGAATGGCATGTTTACCTGATGGCCATTGACAAGTTAAAAAATTGGTCGAAAAAAGTTTGTTTGATTTATTAGTAACACATGTGAATTGCATTCAAAATCAAAGTTTACCTGAAGCAGTTTTCAATCGTGATGGTTTTCGAATATATCACAACTATAATAACGGATTCTTAATATTTTTTTCTTATATCCACAGGTTTTGGTTTTCGAAACAAATTCATGTCTTCGAGCCATTGCAATTCTACCTTTCAATCGAAACAACATAAAAGCTAAGGATGTCACTCTTCAAGGTAAAGAATCTCCTTCATGGCTCACTTTCTTACTTTATCAGATTCCACTTTGTCATATTTAGTGAATTTGGAACTGTTGAATACCTACCAAGGTTTGCATGATTCAAACTGTTTTGACAGACTTCATGCAAATAATTGTTCCACATTTATCGAATTTTAACATTTTCCTATTTTAGATCGTTCAAATCAGAAACTTTTTTTTTCAGAATTCCCAGTCGACAATGGTAAGTTATTACTGCAAAGTTTTTCAGTTTTAAATTTATCCATGTATAACTTTTATTTTAGTTTTTGTTTGGTAAATTTGCAAATTTTAAAAGTTAGCATATTTGAACATCTCGAGCATTTTCCTCAGTTTGATTTCATTTTAGTTTCTTATTTACTTTATATTGTGTTTACCTAAGTTTTGATTATAGCGCTCCAGAACTGTGTGTATCAATATAGAGGTAAACTAACTTTGTTCGCCTACTTTACATTAAGTTGTGTAAAGGGACTGAAACCTATGGGTAAGGGATATATTCACTTGGCTTACACAGACAGTCTCCGAACTCGTAATAGAAATAAAATGAGAAAAATCGGAATAATTTATGCCGGCCTAACCCTAACCTAGTACACATATTACGGGAGTACCTTAATTATAATATTGAAATTAAATATGTACTTTTTTACTCAGCGATTGCCGTGTTTGATAAAAATTCCAAAGCGATTCAAGCATTTGATCCTGAGTTGAAATCTTGGACAAAGATACAGGTTAGCGTGTTTTGTTTTATAAATGTTTGACGATTACTATTCTAAATTTTTTCCAAAGTTAAAAATCATCAGATACTTTTTGGCAGCCCTATTATAAATGAGTTTTGTCACCACAAAGAAGCGACTGATCAGATGAAATGTAAAGCATAGCCCCACAAAATTTGTTTTTTGCGCAACCCTATACCCCCGCTTCATTCGTAGTTCAAATATATTGAGATGTGTTTTTTGCATGTAGTTATCAAACATTGAAAAATTTATTTAATTCAAAATCCTACTAATTATGGTAGTTTGTATATTTCAAACACATTCACATATACTGTTTCAATTTCAAACCAGGACATCAGTGATGAATTCATTGGAAAAGAATTTGCCGATGTTGTACTTGATGACATCATCTATGTTTTTGTGAATGATGGAACCAATTATCAACTGAATTATACTGATAACAATGCTACATGGGTTAGACTGGAAGATCGGAAAATAACAAAAAGTCGTGTGGCGGCGGTTACGTTTGAAGGTTAGTATAACATATAATGAAGAACATTTATTTAACACTGGAATTCTTTTGATTGTACTAAAAAGTTTCAGTAATTTAGGAAGCTTTGTCCAACAGCTGTGTTCCATATGCTATGGGTACTGTTTTTGGGTATATGGTAGCAGTATTGGCTAACTGAAATGAAAAATATGGATTGCTTGAACCATGCGAACCTATTTCCTAGACATTATGATGATTATAATGCATTTTTTTGTCAACTGTAGATTTATATATTCAAATTAAATTGAAAGTATTGAATTGAAACTTAAAAATTGTATAAAAAACATTCTGTAGATAAGGCCACAATATTCCAATCTGACACATAAGTTAATTTTGGACAATCTATGACGCATTTTTTACAAAAAATCAATAATTTACAATGTTTTATAATTTGACAACGTAGCTTAGATAAGTCGTTAGCTAATCACTTAGAAGAATTTTATCCCGGGATATCTAATATAAGACACTTCCAGGTTATGGCAGCTCAGAAGGTCATAGCAGCTTCTGGACTCTAAAGTTAGCTCTTCTATCTAAAATCATAAGTGCTGTCAGTTCTCTTTTTTCCAACTCTGCATTAGATTAATTTCATTTATTTTTAACAACCAGGTTCAATCTATGCATTTGATGATTCTTGCATCACCAGTAAAGCAGTTGAGAAGTTTGATCCATCTGATGGAACTTGGTCTTATGTCACTGATAAACCTGTGGGAGGATGTCATACATCAATAGTTGCTGCAGGAGGTAGGTTTGATAAAGAATGAAGTTGTACTGCAAAATATACACTGTTTGTGTAGCAGTGTTCATCATTAGTGCACTTTTTTTAGGGACTGCGAAATAGCACTTTTTTCCGATTTCCAAAAATTCAATGTTGACAATTATTTACGTGCGAGTATGAAGTTGACAAATAAGTTACCTACTAGTACTTTTGTAACCCAAATTTGAATTACCTAATGATATTTGCTGGAATTCTAACCTATGTGGTGCATACATATGAGATAAAGCTTTCCCATTAACGGCAAAATTCTTGTTTAAAATATGATTATTATACAAGCACACCGATTCCGCTTCTCCCGCAAAAACAGTTGGCGGCGTCTTTGAAACCAGATGTCCAATACAACGCAGTGCGTTTCTTCAAACGAGAGTGGTTATGTGACTGTCAATAACATCGATGAATTGTGACCAAAGTACACGATTTTCTAGTGCAAGTTTGACGGGATTTGTTCCTTCCTTAGTGGATTTATTGGAGCAATTTAGAAAGTTCTGATACCCGATACGTTTTTTGTAACGAATGTAAACCTAGGCCATTATTTTTTGAATTAGAAGAAACTTTTAGCAGCATCTCACAGATTTGCGAAATCACCAAATACATAGATTATATTAACAGCCATTTTATTGTAATCACGAATGTCAAAATCACGTGCCATTTTGCGATATTTAACAATTTCTATAAATCGAACTTAGACCAGAGTCAAAAATTAAATGCAACTATTTCTCACTGATATGCGAGGTTATGATATTATTGCAGAGAATTTTTCTGAGTATATCACCGGACGGAAATATTTTGCACCCCTGCTATTTGCAGAACAAGGATTCGCTAAAGTTGATTGATCGAAAACACGGGAAGCATTTATTTATCATCTCACTGGCCAACATCAGGCGGAATTGTACGATCATGTTGTCTTCCTTAAATTAAACTTTTTTAATGAATGTGTATATTTTACATCGGTGTAATAGTTATGATATGTTCTTGTTGGGTTTTCATTTATTTCGAATCAGAAAATGCCCGGGATACCCAAATAGGTGTATAATAATAATATTATAGTGTAATCGAGTAACCAACTTACGAAACGGAAAGTCTAATGAACTTGAGGTGTTCAGCCAGGATTTTTTCAAGGGGGGTCTTACGGTAAAATTAAATTCTGTGTTATTTTTGTATTAAATAATAAATAAAACACTTTGCGAAATTGTCATTGCGTGAACACTCAGTGTTGCTTTGAATTAAATACACTGATTAAATAAATCGGCAATGATAGCAATTCTACATGGTCAAAATAATATTCCGCCAAAATCTCTGGTAATTTCCATAGAATACAATATTTACCTGTTTTACTTTATCTGGTTTGACGTTTCTAAACGGCTTCGAAGCGCTTGAATTGAACAGATGTGATAGGCACAGAAATAAAATAAAAACACAACTGAAAGATTTGTCACATTTATCTTTTCCGTCTGTTAGCGACAGTCGTAGGTGAATTCTTCCTCGTAACTCCTAATTTGGAATTAATGTTAAATAATTTGATCTTGCTTTTTAATGGCCGTGATTTGAATTAATGAAAATGATTGTGTAGGGAGTTTGAAGAGAAGGCCTTAAATTAGCGTATAACAGTCCTTTTGTGACTATTATTAAATTGTAAACTAGGTCAACCTATCGCTCAAAATAGCGGGATGCCGACTTTCATAGTAAATTTGTGTAATCTTTCAAAGAAAAAAGGATGAAGAAACATGACGTCAATCCATATCGGTGACCGGGGATGTTATTTAGCACGTGCTTTGTACAAGTGACCACCTCTCTGGCTATGGCCGGTAGTAACTAATATCGATTGCTGTGGGTATTAATCGCTGTCTGTTGGGTGAAAGGAGTAACAAAAATGTGCGAGGCATTGCTGTTCACGGAAAGGAGTACTGTTCGCAACTGACACGGTTGGTTTGATTGCACAAAGTTTTGTTCGCGACAGGTGTCCTTTGTTACCGATGAATTCGCTTGTTTTGAACAAGGGTTTAAATTAAACGAAACTCGGTTAACAGAAGGGCACCTCTTTAATTCGCAATATTAACCGAAGGAGCGCTTTTTCGAGTATCTATGCTGTTAAAAAAGAATTTAAGCAGAAACTAGGGCACCTAACTTGCTAAAATCGGCAAAAGCACTTTCGCACTTTTTTTTCGACTGCGAAGCTATTTCGTACTCATAATTTCCTTAGATTTAACACTGTTGTGTAGTCATATGATTTACGGTAGACACGTGGGGCAGTAGTTTGGTATTTGGTTATCTGTAGTGACAGTGGGGTGGTACATCGAGTGCTTGAACTGCTTCTTAAACGCTTTAAACAGCGCTATTTAGCAATGTAATATATATGTATTACGCCAAATTGAAGTACAATTTAATCACCAAAACTACTGATGCCTGCCTGGCAGGATTTTGAATGAATTTGAAATTACCTGATGTCTAAAACGAATCGACCATTAAAATTGATTTCTAAGTTGCATCGAAATTGTCTCAGAGAATCTCAACGTACTAAACATAGGGATATCCTCATTGGATACTGAGTCCAGTGATGCTATATTGACTTTTCATAAAATATTCATTTAGGTTTCATCTACTGTATTGGAGGGTTCAATGGTGGGCATATGTCGAATGCTGCAAAATTCAATCCATCAGATTCAACATGGACGACACTTCCTTCAATGCCAACTACAAGGAATGGTGCAGCAGCAAATGAACTTGATGGAAAGATTTATGTCCTGGGTGAGAATTTACTCTTCAATACATTTTGGCTTGCGCATACACTGCAATTATGGTGATAAATAAGTAGTTATTCAGGTATACGGATATTCTGCAAGCTGACAGCTAACTTTTCACTTTTAATCTTGCAAATGCTTCATTTACCAATACTAAAATTTGAGAAGTCTGTCTTAATGCCGTTAACATCGGGTTAATATTACA